CATTGGTGGCCAGGTCGCTTCTGAAAAAAAAGAGCTATTCAACTCAGTTGGCGCTTACCTGGTAAAGTAGAAATAGTTTATAGGTTGGGCAAGAGGGTGGGGGGTTGCCATGGACCGGTTCAGACATCACTCACCACCTGATGTTGGCTGTGGCCGAGTAATCGAACTCGGGTCACCAGGTCCTTGCACGGTGTAGCAACCGCCGCGCCACCGCTCCACCCCTCTGACGTGCTGGATTATTGGCACACACCATCAAGACCAGCCCCCCCCCCCCTTCGGGAGTTATGCAGCGGATAGGAATTGAGCAGTAAGCAGTGGCTGAGCACAGCTACAGACAGCGCAGCCTGGGCAGTGTTGGTGCGGCCCCATTGGGAATCCCTAAGCATGAACTATTTGCCCCCCCCTCCCCTCTCAATTTGTAAACTCCTCGTGAGATAACTGCAGAGATATAGACTGAGCGATAGAAATGTGGTGAGATGAGAGAAAAGGCAAGTTAGGCAAGAGCGATATTAAATAGGCTTTAAATGTTAGTTTGTCATTGTATGCGAATTCGGATTTGAATTCCAGCTGATATTTTTGTTGCTTTACCCTTAGTTTTTCGGGACTCCAAGGCCCCTTGAGCTGCTTGAGTCCCTAAGCTTAGCTTAGTTTGCTTGAGCCGAGCACAACGACCGAGTTTCGTTTATGTGCAAGAGACATCACTGGAAGGATATTGGAGGGGGGAACAAATCTTTGATGTCGGTCGTCAGTCATTCCAAAGTCTCCTGTCATCGTAAAGGACTTGGCAATGAATATAATGTTGCTCCGTGTCTTGATCCAGATAACACAACTGTTGTAAATATATATAAAATCCAAGAGCAGCACTGGGCTTTGAGTCTACAAATCCACTCAGGAATCAATAAGAAAAAAAAACCAGGCAAGTCTAGCCTGATTCATACACAGACTGTACTTTGGGAGAGAGAAAAAAATAAATAAATTACAACGCCTGCATAAATATAAATTACAAAATTGGCATAGACCATAGCCGCTAGTTCAAAAATGCAACGGGTTATATTTTCTTAAGAAAAAAGGCAAATAAGCTGTTTCTTTCGCTCTCACACACACACACGCACACAGACAAGAGAGACAAGTCCTCGGTTGAACCCAAATGTACAGAATATATATTTTTTGTCAGAGCAAACGCCTTATTTTTTTTTACACCATCGCACATATATATGAACATATAAACAAACAAAGCTCCATATATTATATATGTGTTCATATATAGTATATAGGCAGGGGTTGTGTAACACGGCAGACGGGGGGAGGAAAGGGGGGATTGAGGGATTCAATGCCAGAAGTAACACAAGATACATTCCGGTCAGCGTAAAGTTTAAATGTAAACAAAGCTGCATTATTTGAAGGTTCTGCCTTTTTTCTGTCTGAATGTGTCTGCACGTGACAAATTGTCTTCCGACAAACATTTTTCTTTTAATTTTACCACTAACAGCGAAACAAACATGTGTTTTTTCTTTTAGTATTAAGCGATAAATTGCTAAACAGCACGCGATAAATAAAGTACAACTTAAAACATTTATATTCTAACTGCCCCCCTCCCTCCCTCCCTGCAACGCTAATGGAACATTCCACTGCAACAGCTATGCGGCAAATGACTAAGACTTCAAGGGCTATACGACTGTGTCATCTTGCAGCGGATAGAAAAGGACGCCGGGCCACAAGGCCAAACACGTACACACCACGTGTCTTTTCACGTGCGTCGTAACGGTCGTGGCCAAATCAACTACGCGTGTGCAAGAGGCTGGGATACTAAATCAAGACTAAAGAGGGTGGATGCATAATATCAAAGTTCATTGAATGTATTCATGGGGGTAGATTAGTATGACCCATCAGCCGATTGTCCCTGTTAAATAAACGAGGAAGGTGGTTGTGGGTAGCTTGTTTGACATCGGACCGCCCAGTAACGTGTATAACGAAACTCATCATAATTGGGCATGATCACTCCACTGCTGGATGAACCCCCCCCCAAAGCTGCTGAAATCCTTCACGAACCCCTTCTAATGCGAGAAGTGAAAAAAACAGCCCAGTTTGCCGCGACTGAACACCACTGGTCTGGAAGTCTCATTAGTTGATGACATTTTTTATTTATTTCATTTTAGTCAGCATTAAAAATAAAATAAAAACCCCTTCCCCTTTCTGTTTGTTCAGTCAAAGGCTTCATGGTCTCGTGGCCGATTCTGTTCTCGCGCCACGACCGAGGGTTAATTTGCCGAAGCGGGACTCTCATCTGTTACACGAGAACAGCACACTGGAAATGTGCAAACCATAGCACAAGGCCGTCTGCTGTCCGTCTCTCTGCCTTCCATTAAGCATCTCTCCTCTGTGCAATAATAATAATTATTTAATCGTACTCAGGAATTCATTTTTGTCAGGATGGTACCGCACTGGGATGTATGTAAAACTCACTGTCACGTGTTTTATTTGCTTATGGTGGTCTTTAACGTGTCGTTGGTGGAGTTCATAAAATTACAATAATCCCCTCCCCCCCCAACCAAAAAAAATGAACTCATCCATATTCACATTCATGTGCATCACAGAGGCACTGATGGTGCTAAATGATAGTGGGCCGTGCCACCAACTGTTTAGGGAGTTTGTGCAACAACGATTCATTATTAAATATAAGCAGCCTGTCGGCGCTTCCCGAGCGTCACATGACGAGGCGCTGCCAGCGTTTGTCCGCTTTGGAATGTTCCATCGAGCATCCGTCTCACGTGGGGGGGGGGGGGGGGGGGGGGGGGGGGGGGGGGGGGGGGGGGGGGGGGGGGGGGGGGGGGGGCGGCGCGGCCACGCGACGACGCAACGCTCCCCACAAAGGGTTAAATGGTCACTGCAGTTAGAAGTTCCACGTGACAACAGCAATTGCTCAAGTACTGTAGTGATGCCTTCGTTAGTTGTACCGCTCACGCAAACCCCCCTACAGCACAAAGTGATTTTTCTCATTAAAGATAATTAGAGTTTGGAGGGTGGGGGGGGGGGGGCAGAAGGCAGATTTATAAATTGTACAGATTTGCGCACAAAATCGATGCTTATTCGTTTAAGCTGATTACGCGGCATTAAGTGTCAGCGATTCTGCAAAGCCCACCGGACGAATCAACAATTCGTCTTTTGCGTTACCCGTCCATTGTTGCGCTCCACGTGTGCATGTGTCCCATCCGGGGAGGTACGCACACTCGCGGTTGACCGCGTTGAAAAGTTGCGGGCACGTGGTAAACGTAACGTTATTTCAGCTCGTTTTGTACTTTTGTCAAAATGCTGTTTGCGCGCAGCGACTGAACGTGGCAAGGACTTCGTGTCTCATCTCAAGCTGCGAATCAAAGTGTAACCTTAATAAACAACATCAACAACAACAAAAAACCCCGATACAAAATATGCTTCACTTTAATGTCATCGTAGCTTGTCTCGTGGTGTTAAAATGTTTTTGGCTGTAGCTATTCGTACGCGGTGCGTTGTGTCATTAAGGGTTCTTGGTCACCTGGATTCGAAGTCGCAGAGACAGCACGAGGGAAGAGACATTCAGACGCAAAGAGTAGTCGGCCCTTGGTGAGGACCGCAATGTTGGAATAAACATAAAACATGTCTAACTTATTTTACCAGGACTCGCTAAAGAGTCCAACAGTTTTTTTTTTTCCGGATTGATTCGTGAAGAAAACGGGCCACAAAATACGTAACCTACCGTACCTGAAAACAATGTACTTGCATGTTACTCCATAAAAAAATAAATCAAAACGACTGACCAGCGTGTCGTTTGGTAGGGGAAGCCCACGAGACACAACAGACGCCAATTTTTCCAAAAGCCACGCAAATTCGCTCACGCCTCGAAAGAGTCCACGGGGCGAGCAGAGGGCGAGATATCCCCCCCCCCCCTCTCCCCCCTCAAAGATAATAACAATCAACAACCAAACAAGCGAAGGGAATAACAACCCCAAAGATTCATTTTGCTACATCGGAAGTGGCACAAGCTGCAGAAGCCCAAAAAGCACAAACATCCCACACGTTTCCCAGGCCGGGCCGAAACGCGTGCCCAGACTTACATCTCGCGATTCATCACTCGTCACACCATTGACCCCTCCCCCCCCCCCACGCCTCCTCCGTCCCTTCAGCCTCAATGTGGCCACGTGTTCTAAGCCAAGAGGGGGCAGCCCTTTCACTGGAGGGGGGCAACTTGTAGAAGGAGCGCTCACCCGGCACCGATCGTGGACACTTTGTTCAACGCCCCTCTTATTCCACTGGCACATCCGAGCCGAGCCAGCACAGCACGGCATCGTTTTCTCTTTCCCCCCTCGCCCCCGACTGGCTATCGACCATGCGCCGAGCCGTGCGATCAAATCTTCGTGATACGCCGAGCTCAAAAACGGCATCAGATCTGGCTCAGGGGGTGGCCAAGCAGGGCCACATTGCTCAATGTGCAGGGTGGGACTTCGGTACGATGGCGTCATCTACGTGCATCTCAACACGTCGCACGCGACATACAGTTGGCACGGTTCTGCTTTCTGCAGTGTGGAAAGAGAAAACAAATCAACCCGTGCCCGGGGACGTGGCTTGGATGCGCCGGTGGGAAAGGCATTTACACGAATGGCTCCACGAGTTCACTTTTAGAATCGTGGGGGACGCAGGACTGCGTGCGGTTCGGATTTGGCGTCGCGGAGGAAAACGGGGGGGGGGGCCGCAAGAGCCAAGAATGCGTCGACGGAGGCACATTGGTACGCCTCCAAGCCCACCCGCGACGACCACGCATCGAAGGGTTGCCACCTCTCCAGGTTTTCCGAAGATGGTAATTTTTGTTTGTTTGTTTAAGATAAACGTGCAAGTCCTTCCTGTGCATTGCAAGTCCCGCTTCTCGTCCGTTTTAACGAATGCTACACCGATGAAGACAACGCATCTACGTTTAGTGCTCCCCATCTTCCGTAAATGCGAGACATTCTTACTCTTCCCACGACGTCCCGTTTTTTGTTTATTTTTTTGTTGCCTTCGCACTGCAAAGGTGGCAACCCCACTAAAATCGCATCTCACGCGCTGCGCCAAGAGTAGGAGGATGACTACACCTCCCGAGGTGCCCTCTTCGCAGCACGGGTTAGTGCCCATATATCCTAAATGCCCAATGGTGAGAAAACAAGGGGGGGGGGGGCACAGGCACAGCGAGAACAGCCAGAGCAGCCCAGGCCAGGGAGGACAACAACAACAACAAACATCATGGGGACCCAACCCTCTGACCGGGCCTTGGTGTGAGCGTGTGAAAAAAAATTTCCCCGACGGAGCCGCGGCGACGTAGCCATCAGAAACTTGCGTTGCTGCGTTAGGTTCCCGAGGGGGGGGGGGGGGGGGGGGGGGGGGCGAAGACCAGCGTCGGACACCCCCCCCTCCCCCAGATCGACTCGTGCCAAAATACGAGCACCCAATGTGCCGTCAAAGACAAAATTAGCGCCGGTCAAGGTAGCCGGACGGTTCACGGTGCTGTCCAGGTCCAGGGATTTATTTCTCACAATTTTTTTTGTTTGTCCATGTCACCGCACGAAAGCAGCCGCAGCGCGAGGCATGCTGGATGTGGTGTGCCGGGAATTCGGTTCCATTTCCCACATCGCCGACGCAGGCAGACGCAGCTGAAATGAATCCCTGGTTATGGTCCCACTATCCATTAAATGTGCAGTGCCAACTTCAACAGGTGCTCGCAAACAAACAGCGCCCGCCCTCTCACAGTCCACAGAGCAAATATGAATGTTTGTGTTCGTCATTCTTTTGAGCCGGTATCGCGAATGCCTCGTCAACCACGAGTGTGCGTTGGCTTCGGGGCAGGGGTTACGGTGGCTTTAGTTTACAATCATGCCGGCCCTCCGCCTCTGTGGATTTCGATTCAACGGGACCGACAACGCCAGTTAATTGCGTGGGTCGATACGATCACCTCATTCACCACCCCACTATACCTCATCACGCCGATGCTGCGACACAACTGGACCAAACCGAACCTTCTCACGCACGATGAAAATCATGTTTTGTTTAGGAGTCGAAAATGAACCCTCCCACGGTCCCTTCCACAGGCAGTCCTGCCGAGATTCCTGCCTAGAAGGGCTGCACCTTATCGGGGTCGATCACTAGGCCTCGAGCGGGCGGGGTTGGATAGAAGGAATGAACACATGGAGATGAGACATTTGCTTGCTATGCTTGGCCAACAACACTACACAGATGGGTTAACTTTTTTTTTTAACCCGAAACACGGATTTAGTGTCCTTATCCCCACCGCGCTCAGATTAAACGGCGTTAGGGCGAGCGCCGCTCATCATCTTGTTAAATGGAACGCCCCTAATCTGGCCAGATGTCGCCTCGTCCTCTATCGCACGGTGGTGGTGGTGGTGGTGGCCGCAGCTGTTGCTGCTGCCGAGAGACAGCGCGTCCGCCCCCGCGTTCGGCGTACGTGTGTACGAACGTCGATCTTCTTTCGCACCGTACGTGGCCGACTGTGTGCCGTCATGTACGCACGACGTCCAGCAGCGACGTTTGTCCGGCGCGATGAACGCGGTTGCGCGTGCGTGCGTGCGTGCGGATACGCGCGTCATCTTGATCCACCGCATACGTTGCCACGTTTTGAGTCGGCGTTCGAAGCGCGCGTTTAATGCAAGCCTGCGTGGACTCGTCTTACGTGGCGCGTGCACGTTCAGTATATCTGTACGGGTTTGTGTACGTTTGTGCACACGTTTGTGTTTATACGTCCACGAACGTCACGCGTCCTTGGGTGCGAGTGTGCACGTGTGATGAGAGGTGTCGACGCTGTCGGCCCACTGCAGTACGATCCTGGCAACCTTCACAGACAGCCGACCACCTGTAAACGGTCATGGCGCGCGTTCTAGATTTTAAAATATTCTGGGCCTCCCCAAGGATAGGCGGCTCAGCCAAAGATCAGTACCTGCAGCAGTGTGTTAACATCGCCACTGGGGAAACCACCCCCGCTCGTGAGCTGCCGTGGTCGGCGCTCACGATAAGGGTGACCGAGGGATCCGTGCGTTGGTATGTGTCCAGTATGTGTGTGTGGCGCTTTGCATCCGTGTGTACTTTCAAGTGAACACAACGGTTTGTCAAATTTATTTGTGTGTGTGTGTGTGATGTCTTTGGGTGTGTACACACGCACGTTTATACGCCCGTGTGTATGTGCATGTGTGTGTGTATTTAAATTATGCACGCACTTATGTATGTTTACATGTAATGTGTTTATTGTGTGCATGAACGCTTTTGTTTCGGCCGCCCACAATATTGGCCTTGAACGCCGGCCGAAGTCGGCCGACCGCTGTGTTCACAACCCGCCGGGGAGGGCCCCCCCCCCCGCCCACAGCCCCCCACGCAGCGCGAGTGGCACAACTCGATGCCAGCAGCATGGGCCCTGGGCCAGCACGGTCAACGACACGGACAGCGTGGACCCCGTAAAAATCAGAGCCACGCACCCTGCAAGCGCGCGCGCATGCACACGGCATTTAATTTCATTTGTTCGGTCCTTTCTCAATCCGCTGCTGGATAAAGGACCCCCCCCCCCCCCGCCACCCCCAACCCCCCCCCGCTGCATTGCGGGTGGGGGGGGGGGGGGTAGATGGGGGCGGTGCGAGTAGGCCAAGCGAGGCGAAGCTCAGGGGCCGGTTTCGGACCGCATCTCCGCACCACCGATGTTGGCCGTGGCCGCGAATCCGAACTCCGTGCGGCACGGACGGTGCGCCGGTCGCCGCGCCGTCACGTGGGCCTCGGGGTGGGGGGCGAATATATATATGTATATAAATCGACCCAACGAAGAACACGAAACAAAAATAGTGCAAGCGACGTGGCCCCCATTTCTCATCAACTGGTAAACGTCCCATACGGCAGCAACAGACGACGACGACGACGACGAGCGGACGGACGAGCCGGGGAAACGAGCCGTCGGCGCGGCCCGAGTCAGCGCGGCACAGGGCTGAGCGCCGGGCGGAAGGGGTTCTTGAGAAGGCGGTGGTGGCGGAAATCGTAAACGGCCCGGCTCAGGAACACGAGCTCGGGGTCGGTGTTCGGGGGCACGCGGCGGTGGAGGGGCGCCGAGCAGCCCGCCGGGTGCGGTGGAACGGTCGGCGGCGGCGGCGGCAGGAGACCGGTGCCGGAGGCCTCCGTTGTCGGGGCGCCGGCGGCGAGGCCCTCGCGACGACGCTCGATGTCCGCCCAGAATCTGGATAACCGGACGGGGAGGGAACGGACGTCAACGGCGTTGTGCCGGGGCCGGACCCCGCGGCTAACGAGCCGTCCAAACAACGAGGTCCATCCCATCCCTCCACCACACGCGCACCAGCTTGGCTGTCCCACACTGACCGGGGTGGTGAAGTATGGTCTAAACAACCCCAACAACTGACGGCGGCATAACAGGGCCTCCGTCTGGTGGGGGTGGGGTTAAAAAGTTGTGAAATATTTGAATGATTTTCATTTAAGCATGTGTATGAGCTGTGCATGACCTTAAGCACAATTCCCAACAAAGGCCTAATAATGCAACTTCCAAAACACTTTTTTTTTTATTCAGTAAAGGACGATAAAAAGATAAACTTTAAAAAAAAACCCACTAGAAATCACTGGAGAAAAGCAGGAACTAAATAGTAAAAGTAAATAAAATTTATATCAAGCAAAAATACGGAAAATAAACCTAGGGGGGGAAAAAAACAATTCTATTTGGATTTAGAAGCAAAGTCGGAAATGCTCGTGGGATATCCAGTCGGCTGAAGACCTTCACAAATAAATACATGCTCAGCTTCGCTTTGAAGGTGGACAGAGATGCACGTTCCAATGGGGTTCACTTAAGCCAACATTTAAACCTACAATAGATAAACATATTTCCCACAGATGTTCCAGTCAAAGAGAGTGGCGCGGCACTCTTGAGCCAGCAGTGGAAATTCCACATGCCAACGGCGAGGAACAGTTTCTCTATGGGGGCAAAAACTGCCCAGTTCCAACAACGCAGCAGAGAGCTGTATAATAACTCTCCCGTGTGTTGTATGTTATACCGCGTGTGGCACGGTGCCCGACATTCCGCTCCCAGCTGGCTAAAGTTGGCACGTGCAGCGAAATTTCGGACGTCACGCCAGACAACAAGCGACACACGCCCCGGAAAACACATCGGAGAGCTGTAAAACCCCAGCACGATGACGGAGACACGGACAGACCGAGTAGAACCGTGAGACCGGGAATCCAACCTTGCTACCTTCCGATTGCGAAGTCGTGCATCCCGTTGCCGTGCCATCTGGCCGGGACACGAGATGAACGTACATATACCCAAATAAATAGAAGCACCTTTATAGCCCGACGTGCGAGTTTGAACGTTCTCCCATAGGCCTGCTCTTCAGACGTTTCAGACGAGTTTCTCCTCGTACTCCAGTTTTTAACAAGGAAAATGAGTGCGCTACAAGTGGCCAAAAAAACCACACGATGTTTGAGCGGGGCAGGAGGAATCGGGGGAGGGGGGGTGGTGGTGGACCCTTTCCCTTACTCCTGAAAGTCTGTGGGACTCGGTTCAGTCGGTCTTTTTGTTACGTAAAGAAAAAAATTATTACATCCAAGAAAAATGTGCTACGTCGTTTACACGTTGTCGGCAAAGCCAAAAGAGAATCGTTTCAAGAGCTTGCTTTATAAAAGCACGTTTTTTTTATGAAGTACGACTGCAAAACAAAGGCTTTTGCCAAATTAATTCATAAAGAGATTTTTGTTTTTTATCATCCCGCTCGGCGCGTGCTACGAGAAGTCCACCTCGGTTTTACGATCCGTGAAAACACCACGCAGGTGCCTGCTGCCGTCAGTCTCGGAGGGGGACTTTTAATTTGTTTTTTTTTCTATTTGGAATGTTTATCGATGGGACGAGAATGATAAAAAGAAGAAAATGCTACGGAATGTTTTTTTTTATATATATATAGATTTAACATTTTCACCCAATAACTAACTACACAAACCCTCAATTTCAAACTTTTACCGATACACAAGTCTTAAACGGTTAGATTAGTCTTAAAATCACTAAGCGTAGAGACAGCCCTTTTGTCCATCCTCCCCCATGGTGTGCAGATCATGGGGGGTGGTGGGGGGGGGTTATCCGATCATGCTTCACCACGCTGGTCAGTGTGGGTTGTGAAGGACGAGAGAGTAAGGTGTACAACAATGGTGTTTTCTGCGCTACCCCCTGCTGACAACTTCGCCCCCACTGCAGCCTACAGCACCTGTGGAACTGCATGGCAGTCACCCATCCAAGCGCTATCCAGGCTCAAAACCTGCTTGGCTTCCGAATTGATTTAACGGCCTTAAGTGAAAGCGGTTGCAATTCACGCGCTACCAGGAGTGTGCGACGGTACCCCGTGTCACTGGGCGAACCTGAGAAAAAGAGGAGTCACAGTTCCACATTCTTATGGCAGGGGCCGATCTTTCCGGGGGGGGGGGGGGGGGGGGGGGGGAGGGGGTCACTACTGTTGGCCCAGGAAGGATGATGGGCAGAGTCGGGGATTTGAACTCGCGACCTTCCGATAGCAAACAAAAATCGTCCTCACCCCAGCGCTACGACAACAATGCGTAACGTTCAATTTCATGACACTTTTTTGCTATTCCAAAATAAACCTCAGGACGGTGTCGCTTAATTAACACGGAGATAAAGAAAACACATCGGCAAATAACAATGATAAATTAAAGTACCAAATGGCACACCTGCTTGTGCAACAACAAAAAAACAGCCCATCGATTTAATTTCCACAATGAGGATGATGCGAGATGAAGCACAAGATGAAACACAGGGGGTGCAGGATATTAAGGAAGTTGCTGCAGGTGTACCGCCTAATTAAAACGCATTTAATTAATTAAATATGACTCCATTGATTAAATATGACTCCAATTGCAATCACGAATTTCACGTCCTTTGAGAGTTCCGGCAGCGGGCTGCATTAGAACTGGGGCCCCCGAAGAGGACGTCACAGAAAACTAGTGCTCGAGTGACTTTGACAGTCCTTTTCTCTGCACACCACACGGCCAACACCCTTGCACGGAAATATTCAATCCTCAGAGCTTGAGGACGCACGCAAAAAAACGGAATCTAACCGACAATTTATTTCCGTGCAGTCATTGACATGTTAATTTAAAAAAATTCCAAGAACATTTTCTATCCAATGCTGGATGAAAGCCTCCCCCCCCCATGCCCTGCAAAGTCATGGGGATTGTTTGACCATACTTCACCAGCATGGTCAGTGCAGGTTAAGGACGGGGGAGGGGGGGGGTCCAGATTGCAGTTCAGATAACGCTTGCCACTGATGTTAGCCGTGGCCAGGGATCAAATTCAGGCCACTGGGTTCACAGCCCAGTGTGCCAATCACTGCACCGCCTCTCCGCCGCAGTAATTCAGAAGCATCAGAATTTGTATTTTTACTGGAGGAAACCGATGAGCTTTAAAGCGCTTTAGCACAGATGTCCAGGAGGGGTGGGTCACAATGTGACAATAACAATGCAAAAAGATGATAGGAGTGCAAAGCAGAGGAAAGGGAAGTAAATCACAAAAAATACAAAACGAAACTATTTTTATTTTACCAGGTAAAGACCACTGAGAGCTATTAGCTTATTTTTCAGACGCGACCTGGCCACAAACGGTAGCTCATCCAAGTGGCTTATCACGTGGAAATGTGCAGCAGAAAAATAATATACAAAAATCTCCAACGCTTGTTTCATTGCTGCCCGGGTTAAACCCATCACGTGGTTACACTTGAGAATACAGCTTAAATCACGGGGCTAGCTAAACTAAAAGCTGAAACCAGGACCTCGGAGGCTGTGGCTTAGTGCCGACAAGGACACAATGCGATGTTAAGGCACAACCACAACACGGCACAACCCACCCACTCGCCGACTCTCTCACTTCCCTGTTTGCGTTTGAAAACTACGCCTCCGGCGTCATCGCCACCACTGCCTCTCTGACACCTACACAAGTGGCTCAGCCGCCCACCTTGCGTTACACATATCCCCTTCAAGCTGTCCACAGCAATGTCACGCCCCTCCCCCCGCTCATGGCGTAAGAGAATCAGGGGGTGGGGGGGGGGGGAACTTCCTTCAGGAGGCTATTCAGACCCACCCCGCGTCAGCAGGTAAAAGGCGTGCCAAGTAAAATTGAGAAAAACAAATTTCACGAAGGAAAATGTATTCTCGACGATTAAAATCGAGGAAAGCATGGCGATATTGAGAAAGGCAAGATCTTGGAGCTGAAAAAAAATAATAATCCTGCAGTAGAATCTATTAAAAAAAAAACTTCTTGGGTGGCCGAAATGGCCCCGCGCTCAGGCCCGAGTACAGAAGCGAGTCCTGGGTACTGGGGTCCTATCGGGGGAGAGAGGCGGCAGGGGCTGCACCCGAGTGCCCGTCTCAAATCCTTCTCTCTGTCACTCGTGACATCTGGCAATTGCTCGTGTGGTGAATGAGAAAAGTCCCGCGGGGCCGAGACGATGACGAATTAAACAAAAAATTCCCCACCCACACGTCCCCCCACTAATAATAAGACACGAGAGCTGGGGCGTGAATAAAAGCCCGCCTCTTCGTCGGAACTGGGGCTCCGACACTCGTGACGAACGCCACCAAGTGCCCCACGCAATTTCACGGCGACAACGACGACGCGCGGAGACGCTCTGTACCTGCAGTACTCGGCGAAGGTTAGGACGTAGCACTTCTCCTCGATGCACGCCACGCTGTTCACGTCCTGATGCCTCGACGCAAAGATCTCGCTTTGCTGAAAGGCAGCCGCACAGGAGAGCGCGAGCGCGCGTGAGTCAGTGTGCACAACGGCAAGGCGATGGTGGCGACGGCGGTGACGATGGATATTGCGGGATTGCTCGGAGGTCAGGATGATAATCATGATGTAGCTCTTCAATGGCGATGAGAGAGATTATTTATCATGGTAAGACAAGTTCTGGCGGCAGTAATTTAAGCAAAATAAATGATGATGATGATGATGATGATGTCGAGTATGAGAATAGTGGCCAAACATAATGACGAAGCTCTTGACGATGATGGTGCTCGTGAGAAGGAGTTTCCGATGACGATTCAAGTCTTTCTGATGATGAGATTCATGACATTGACAAAACAACATTTATCGACTTGTAGAAAAGACATGTGTGGGGGAGAGGGTAAGTTTAAGCATAGGAGCTCATGGGTGGGGTAGTCCAATAGGGTAGGGAAGGGAGGGGGAGAGACAGGAAGAGAGTGACTGTCGGAAATAAATAATGCATCGTTTCCATGACCAGTTCCAGGCAGACCAGACTGAGTCATGTGAAGTCCGACCTGAAATGTTAGGTTAATAAAACAGTGCTACCAGGAAGGGCTGAGGACAACGATGATGATTATGTTGATGGTGGTGTTTTTTTTGTCTATTTAAACAATGTATATACATTTATAAAACACTGGGTCAAATTACAAAAATAACAAATTCCATTTAAAACACTTTAAAAACTTTCACATTTACACATTTCCCCATGACCACCGCCACCACCGGCCCAGACCTCACCGAGATTCATACCCAGTGAAGGTGGACATTCTCTGGGTTAGACGCGAGGCTGCAGCAGGGAGTGTGGAGGAGGGGTGGTGGAAGGCAACGTGAAGATGAAGGCTGCCACCTGTCCTGGATTTTACAGGATTGTCCTCTTAATGAGGTAGCTGTGCCAGGAAATCTTAAAGTCTTCCGGAAACATTACAAGCCCCGGCTTTTTGTCAGTTGCAGGAAAACACACCAGTCGCTACAATGACATTCTACACGTAGCTCTCCCCTCTTCTGGAATGGCAGGACATTTTCGTCACCTATGAAAATGTCACATTTTCGTTTCGTTCCTTTCGAGGTGGAAACCCCAGTGGGGGGACAAGAGAGGCAAAGGTGGATGGAATTGGCGTGGTACGAGCGCGGAGAAGCGAGGCCCGTTCCGACTCCGGTACAGCTCCAACTACCTCATAAATGGCCATGGACACACGACCGGCTGCGCGGTAAAAATTCAACTTGCGCGGAATTTTCAGCCCGTGTACAGGGGCCGGACCGATTACTGCATTTATCATTACGTCCCAGGATCGCGGAAAGGTGGCGACGGCTTGGGGCGAGGGCTGGGGAGGTGGGGTAGGCCGTCGTCATCCAGCAGTGGATCGAACGTGGCCGTACAACGCGACGACCGTGCCCGTGTGGTGGCGAGGTGGGCCGCTCACCTCGCAGTGCTTGTACGCAGGCCTTCCCCCTTGAGTGTGCTCTGGCCGGTAGTACCAGAAGAGGCTCATGGTCAGCTCACCTGTGAATCAACACAGGAGGACTTGTCAACACACCGTGCCAAGTGCCGTTTTTGTTGCACATTCGTGAAAACCCAAGAGACGGGGCGGGGTGGTGGGGGGGGGTGGAGCATTCGTCTCATTTTGAACGAGTGACCCAGGTTTTGCGAGAGTGGCCTGTTACTCGCAGGAAAGAGAGGCACGCGAACAGCTGCGTGGCCTGGTTAGTTGAGACAGCTTATGTACACACACACACATAAACAGTGTACATTATATATATGAAGCTCACATGTGCTATCGATCCACTGCAATGGGTAGATGCAGAGGGGGGAAAAAAACACAGATGGGACGATTAATTTATTAAGTGAGTTTATCGGTGAAATGTTGCTACCGAGTGCTTTTATTATCGTGGACTTCTTGGACACGCTTACAAATAGGCTGGACGGTTTTCGGCGAGTTATCTGATCAGTCGAGCTATCGAACTGATCATCAGCAGAGGAATCCCACCACTTGCATAAATCGCAGAGACCAATGCAGTTTTTGTTCTAGTCCAATCCAGCGGAAATCGTTTCGCTATGGGTAGAGAGATGCCCCAAACGTCGTGCGTGCCACGGTGGCTCGGAGATGTTAACTACCTCGCCTAGTATACACGAGGTCGTGGGTTGATCCCGACCCCGACACCTGCATATTTGGAGTTCGCATGTTCTCTCCGCGGCCGTGTGGATTTATCTCCGGGTCCTCCGGTTTATCCCTCCACATTTGGAACCAACATCACGGATTCGGAGTATTTGGCTCCTATACATTTCCACACGATGATAAGCCCACTTCGTTGAGCAATCATTTGAAGCGCTACTGAAAAAGAGCTACATATAGCTCAGTGAGCTATAAATGGTAAATAAAAAGGATTTGCAGTAACTAGTAATTTGGTGTCTGCAGCAGCGACGATGCCTTGTGACGACCACACCTGGTTCGCCCAGCTGCAGCATGAGCTCATAGTGAGGTGGTGGTTTGTCATCGCCAACACGCGCTTCCGATTTCAAAACACTAACATTGCAAATAAATATATTTTATTTAAATGTACGTAGAAATTCGTAATCCGATTTGCCAGTGTCATCCTGCAGCAGATTTGCCCGCAATGGGTTTTTTTATGGAAATGTCGGTATTTGCAGCACTTTTCTAGAATGCTGACATTCAAACACACCCCCCATCTACACACCCACACAATCATGCACGACGTATAAATATTATCAACAGCCATTGTGTGTTCACCATGAGGTGTGGCTAACTGCGCACCTGGCTGTCCTTGTGGCCTTCGCATGAAGCTACAAAACGCACCAGGTGCACAAAGCATGCATTTACAGCCGAGTTGACCTAGTTGAGACCCAGGCCAGGTTTATGCAAATATTACCACCAGCCTTGTGCATTGGGCTAGGGATCCGACCGAGACCGTTCAGGCTGACAGACTGCTGTGGCAAGTTCCCATCTAGCGAGCACCTCTTTGAGGACCAGCATGGCACACGAGCGGGGTGGTGCGACTAGCTCCACGTGGATGCAAACTGCACTGCTGATTATTTTACACACACACACACAAACGTCGGGTACGCTATAATTCATGCCGAGTCAACCTTGGGGAATCTGGACGGATTCAAAGAACGTGGAGAGGCCAGGGGTTGAACGCCGGTCACGGAAACCGTAACGGGGCGTTCCAACCGGCCGCGTCACCGTATACATTTCACACACACACCTACAGAAACACGCGAGCAACAACGCAACAAAGTTCATCCGAGCAGCAGCGGCGGTGGCGGCGGCATTCCAATGAGGGAAAAAAACAAGAAACCGGGCCAGGACTTGGACGACTGCCGCAAGCCCACGCTGGGCCCTCGACCGCGCTCCCACAAAGCTCGCACGCGCGCGAAACCAAACAAGGCGACAAAAACGACAACGTGCATCAGCTGTGCGGTTACTCCCCACCACACTCCCCGCCACACTCCCCGCCACACTCCCCGCCACACTCCCCGCCACACTCCCCGCCACACTCCCCGCCACACTCCCCGCCACACTCCCCGCCACACTCCCCACCACCCTCCCCACCACCCTCCCCACCACACTCCCCACCACACTCCCCGCCCGCCCGCCCGACGTGTCGCGCATCATCATTTACGCGGGGAGAGCAGCGCGTACCGCTCTCACGGACGGAAGGGAGCGTCTCGGAGCCGCCACGCTGTAACACCGTTCATCATCCCCACTTTATTTGCTTTGCGGAGAGCCGAAGGGGAAATGGTCGGGGATGGGGACGGGGTGGTGGTGTGGGCCCTGCGAGCTCGCGAAAACCATGACCTCGGTAAATAATACCTTTGATAAGACGGTCCACGACGAGGGCAGGACTTACCGATTCAGTTTGAAGAACATCGCCGTAACCTCTGTCGCAATTAACAGGGCAATTAACTTGACCCCTTGCGTGAAGTGGTGGGTGGGGGGGGAGGGTGGAAATCACTGCAGGCTACTCAAGTTAAACCATTTAATCAGCTAGCGATGAGGAAACACACGCAATTAAATCACTATTAAATGGCACGAGTGCGTGTCTGTGTGCACAACGCAGACTGGTGAACTGCGCTACGATCCCAGGTCGACCTCCGTGACCCGAGGGTTAACTTTTTTGTGCCACGCGCAAGTGGTACGCGAGCCTGGCTTGTGCCTCCCCTAGTTGAACTCGGCCTACAACAATATGCGCCTTGTGTGGCAGCGGGGGTTCATGGGCAGTGGAGTGTTTGACCATCGGTTCCTGTGCTCATTTATGTACGTGGATGCTTGCACGCACGTGGTCGTGAATGCAATTCTATAAAAAGGGAGCGGTGGCGTAGTGGTTAGGACGTTGCGATACGAACCCGGCAAACCCGAGTTATATTTCCCGCTCATGGCCAACACCAGTGACGATTATTTTCCACCGGTCCTGGGCCTCCCCGAGTTTGAATCAGCCTCGAATGAGTACCTGGTGCAGTGTGTAAACATCGCTACGAGGGAGACAAAAGCGGCCCAGGCGTGGTTGCTGGCCACCCACCTCCTCCCCGTGTACAGTTCCAGCCTTTATTAGGTGCTCGCTAACAGCACTTGCCCCAACAGTCTGTTAAGGCTATACGGAGGATCTTTGTCTATTCAAATGCATACGTGTATTAGTGTAAGAGTAAGCATGCAAGCATGTGCACGCGTGTGCTAATGTGCGTACGAAGTGATATAACGTTAAATTCCGTACGGCTCGTTTACAAGCGGCCATAAGTTTGCTCTGCCGAACGCCTTCGCCAGAGAGGAAACATCGATTCATTAAGGAGGACCCATTTATAGGCACCGCTGCGATTTGCTTACTCGTCAGCGGCATTAAAACAAAAAAAATACCCGTGTGTTCCAGCGAGCGCCACCGTACTGCCGAAATGTTTCTGACTTTTACAAGACGCCGGTGTTTGTTTTGGAGGGGTGGGGTGGGGTAGAGGGGTTAAGTGCACAACGCTCGTGGTTACGCCGTCCACAAAAAAATCCTCTGCGGCCACGGCCGACGGCTGACCAAAATCCGTCGGCGAAATTTAAAGCCCCTGTTGCGAGCGAACAGGAAGAAGAGTCTTGATGTCACGTTCACTCGAGGGAACCGAGAAGGACCGGGCTCGCCGGGGAAGGAGAACCAAATATGATGCCGTTGTACCATTCAATTACAAATTAAAATGGCAAAAAATTTAACTCAACGCTAAACAGAACCGAAGTCGGGATAAATCAACGAGGAGGAAGATACATCGGGGTCCGGTTTGCTTCGTTTATCCGGCGACTCGTGGGACGCGACTCCTTTAGTATTGTGGCCCCCCAATTAAGCCCCCCCTCTCCCCCGAGGTTACTCAGGCCACAAGACACAGAAAGATCACACACGTGCACGCCTCTCGCCACCGCGGTGTTCGCAAGGCCTTTGTTTCACGTCGCGCGCTGCGTGCGCGCGTGGTCTCTCCGCCACGTGGCGCCGGCGTTTCCCGTGCACGCACGAGTCCCGAGTTTCCCCTGCACGGTGTCCATGCCGCGACCTGCAAGGCACATCTTATGGCCCGCGGCGAATTGAGAATCGGCAGGGCAGTTCTAAATTATTTTTTTATATTCTCGTTTAAGCTACGTTTGCGTTTTGTTCTTTGGCGGCCCGTACTATTAATACAGGCCACAGTGGGCACCCGCGGTGTGTTTACACGAAGGTTTCACTGGTCACGTAAATTGTGCGTTGCCTTCACCCCACCCCAATCCCATCCTAACCCAACAAACACCCCCATCCATTCTACCGACCGCCAGCTCAATAAAGCCTCACTGTGGCTCCTCCCAGGCCACAAGCCCACCCCCCATACGCAAGCGGACGTAAAAAAAAACACCCGTTCCAAAGCAAACGACAATTAAAGAGAGAAAAAAATTGACGACACGGAGCATTCCGCCCTCCGACCGAGCTTTTACAACCTCGAGCTCGCGAGCTTAACATGTGGCAGCGATTTTCAACGTTATTTTGAAGAAAATAAACGCGGGAGAGGGGAAGCGATGAAGGCGGGGGTGGGGTAGAGGGGGGGGGGGTCCAGAAAGAGTTCTTCTGTTATTTAAAATAAAGACGTAAAAATAGAATGAATACCAAAAGAGAACCGATGTCTTCGCTATCGCCAATGGCAACCCAATCGTGCAGAGCCCGAGATGCGGTAAAGACGCGTGCCTCCTAGGTCATCAGACCATTGCACACCGTTGCAAATGAGATGTTCCACCTCGATCAATTAGCCGGGTGCAGTATTCTAATAAATGAATTAACACGTTTTTTATTTAACTACTTCCGAAGCCACTGCAAGAGGTCTCGCCCACACAACACGCTGGCTAGATGTTAACTACCTCGCTAGGTATACAGGAGGTCGTGGGTTTGATCCCGATTCTGAGGCCTGTATATTTGGATTTTGCATTTTCTCCCCATGGTTGCGTGAATTTTTCCTCCGGGTCCTCCGGTTTTTCCCTCCACATTTAGAATCAACATTAAGCGCTTGGAGTATTTGGCTGTTGCTACAAATGTCCACATGATGATGAGCTACTTCGTTGAGCCATCTGTAACGTGTGACCAAGCCTCTACTGAAAAAGAGCTGGATAAGCTCAGGTGGGCCTTACCTGGTGAAAATCAAAAATAGTTAAAATAGTAAATATCTGTTCCAGGTTCAACTCAGGTTACGAGAGCTTTCCCACCAACGGTGGGTTGAGCGATCCGACACGCTGATGAATACGTTTTGATGTCACGGGGAATTATATATATATTTTTTTCTTCTCCGGATCTCGCTCCAAAGTCGGATTACGCCGGCCACGTTTTGTGAGAGGTTGCAATTTCCATTTCCCACCACCCCCGCGCGCCACGGGATCGAATTGTCAATTAACTATTTAGCACTGTGAGAGATGAGCACACGTTATCACGGGCGGCGGCAGTCGCGAGCAACACCTAGGGGTAGCGTCTCCCACGTAGCCGCCACCAATACCAATAGCCGCCATTCGCCACTCAGTGACATCACCACGGTGCCTGTGCCAGGCCAGGTGCTATTTGAGGCCACGTGAAGTGTCGAAGGCTCGCTGACAGGAAGTCTCGGGACAGACCCTTGGTGCCATGGGTCAGTCGACTGAGATGACCGGTAGATGCACCCAGCTGTACCCCCAACTCTGCTAAACTTGCTGCGTTTTAGCCGCCCGATGCGGTGCTCGTTGTTGTGAGCGTCGCTCCTCTGCCCTCCGTTGTTGCTGGAGGGCGACTGCCTCCAACTGCCCAGTAGCGTCCTTAACGAGCCTCCTCCCATAGCTGCCACCACCGCTACCATCATCAGCAGCATTAGTAAATATTACAGCTACACTGCTGAACGTAGTGGATAGATCACAGCCGATGACGATGATGACCATTTACTGTTCCTTAATACAAATAAGAGTAAAGCAGGTAAGGACAGCCAGCCACTTTGTAACATTATTTATTTAGTAACGTTTCCAAGGGGCGTAATCGTGCCACCGAGTAGCTTTCGTGAAATCGGCATTATCATCCTGAGCAGATAAATAGCTTCTTGTCCTTTAAGAAACAAACCGAGCTAATAATTGAGAGATTAATGAGCAAGATTAGTAATCGTTTCAAGCAGATCGAATCTATAAATCGCATTACAGGACTAGTTCTTTCCTTTAGCCACCGTATGGCTCTGCAAGCATGTACATGTGCTCGTGCGTGCACGTGCATACGTGCACGCACGCGCGCGTGTGTGTGTGTGTGTGTGCGACGTACCAGACCGCGGATCCTCCCAGAGGGCGGAGATTTTGGCGACGAAGGGCAGTGATCGGCGGCGAGCTCCGGAGCGCAGGAGCACGCAGTCGCGCACGCGCACCACGAGACCCGCGCAGCGCACCGCCGAGAAGCAGCGGCGCACCGCCAGCTCCGCCTCGCCCTGAGCACACGCACGCACACGCACGCAGAGACAAAGATCCCACCGTTTAGCCTCGCACTCAGTTGGGGCAAGTGCTGTTAGCGAGCAGCACGTGTAAAGGCGGGCGCGGCACGCGAGCGGCAAACACCACGCGCCCGGCCGCCTTTGTCTCCCCAGTGGCGATGTTTACACACCGCACCAGGTACTGATTCGAGGCCGAGTCGACCTAGGGGAGGGCACAGGACCGGTTCAACTAAAAATCGGGTCGCCAGGTTCGTAGCGCAGCGTGCCAACCGCAACACTACCGCTGACCCTGTACATACGTACGCACGAACACGCCAACCTCTCGCGACATTCAGTCGCGTGAACCGTCAGGCAGTCCAACGGAGCGAGCGCCGGACGGCAACAGGCTGCCGAATAGCCGAACGCGTTCAAGCGTCGGGGGCTGAGCGTGAACGGGGAGGGGGAGGTGGGGTGGCACGGTAACCCTCGTAAAGACGATCGAATAGGAGCAAAACTTTGGTGTCAAGTTGGGCTGCTACGAGGAAACGTAACCTTGAGAAAATCGTCTACGTTGATTAAAGGATTGGTCTGCACCTTGCAGACACAAACCAGCGCAAAGAAAAGCAGGACCACTTGCAAATCTCCAAATATGCATTGTCCCGACACACAAGCCACCCATCAGCTTCCATACTGCGAATTAAAAACACTTCCCAAGACAAACGCACGTTGGAAAAGGTGTTACGGCATTGCGTGCGAACGGATGATTTCTCTTCATCTTTGTTTTAAATATCCATTGGAGAATACAACCCCCACCATCAGCAAAAAAAAAAAAACCACACCAAGGTCACGATAATCAGGTGTGGCAGGGACACGAGCGAGAGCCAGAGGCCGATTCACAGCTCGCGGTGTTAAGGGTACGCGGACGCTTGCGATACGTGGACGTCGGTAACTGTTATTTGGCTCGCGCCGCTTCCAAGTTAACTAGGCCTAGAGCGAGTAACCGGTGACATAGCGTGGGCGACAATCGGCATTGCTGGATGAAGAAGGGGATGTGAATACAATGCTCGTAACTCCGCAGCGAATCACTGAGGGCACTACGAGGTGGGGGACAGGACCAGCGGGTGGGGGACAGGACCAGCGGGTGGGTGCAGGGCAGCACCAATTTACAGCTCGCCGTGTCCTCATCCCCCCCCCCCCCCCACAGTGTCCCCCTGCTGCATCCCCCCCACGGTGTCCCCCACAGTGTCCCCCCACGGTGTCCCTCCTGCTGCATCCCCCCACGGTGTCCCCCATGGTGTCCCCACAATGTCCCCATGGTGTCCCCACGGTGTCCCCACAATGTCCCCACGGTGTCCCCCATGGTGTCCCCACAATGTCCCCCACGGTGTCCCCACAGTGTCCCCCACAGTGTCCCCCATGGTGTCCCCCATGGTGTCCCCACAGTGTCCCCCATGGTGTCCCCCATGGTGTCCCCCACGGTGTTCCCCCTGCTGCATCCCCCCCATGGTGTCCCCCACGGTGTCCCCCGCTGCGTCCTCCCCCGCTGCTTCCCCCCCCCCCCCGCTGCGTCCCCCCCCCCCCCGCTGCGTCCCCCCCCCCTCCCCCCCCGCTGCGTCCCCACGGCATAACCCTCGACGGCTGGTGCCGTAAAAGGGACTGGGATTAAAAATAGCGGCGATAAAGTCGAGGTGAGCGTCACAGGCAGGTGACTCCCAGCGGTCACCCACTCTCTCGCGGGCGAGACAGCGGCTGAGCGAGCGAGCGAGCGAGGGAGCGAGTGAGCGAGGGAGGGAGCGAGCCCCGGTTACTCGACCGAAGCGACACTTTACATGGCGGCAATGTCACGACGACGATGGCGAGTGTGACGGTGTTGTCGGGTTACACCGAGATATCGCCGACGATGTCATCGGGCGATTTCGCTTTTGCGCGGCGGGCGGAAGCGAACGGCCCCGCCAATCCCACGCCGGCGGTGGCTGTGAAAGGTGGGATGGGTGGCGCTGCGGATTGGAGGGCCGTCCGTCGGGAGGTCGAGTCGAGCTTGAACGTCGGTTGTCCTATGGGGAAGGCTGGCTCCTGCTACCGGCTGCCTCAGGGGTTGCTCTGCAACGACCGCGAGCGGGGGTGACGCTTTTGGTCTCCCTGCTCGCTCGCGATTGCCAAACGAGACTTTGTGGGGCTGCAAACCAATTCGACTAAGCGCAAAATCTTGGTTCGTGCGGCACCGACGATGAGCGGATACGTTTTCTCGTTTGTAGATTGGGGGGGGGGGGGGGGGGAATCTAAATATTATCAGAGTTCTTGTTTACTCTGCCTCTGCAAACCTGCAGATGGCTGGCAACCTTGGATAGAGAAACCTTGGCAAGGCCCCCCCCCCACCACCCAGTATAAAAAAAAAAGTCTCGACTCCCCCGAGTCGCAGCAATGGCACCCCGCAGATCGGTGCAACTTGCGAGGGGAGGAATCCGCTCAAGGTCAGGGTGCGGGTGTTTGGGAAGAAACTAAACCATTGTCTATTTTTAAACCAAAAAAACACTTTTAAATCAAGGTAAGTTAAACAAAGCGTGCAGGCGGTGGCACAGGGGTTGGCGCACTGCGCTAGGAACACGACAACTTGAGCTCAATTCTTGGCATCGGTGCCGAGTAACCGATCTTGGGGCCCTCCTGCCGCCACCCTTCACCAACCTACACACTGAACCAGCTTGGCGAAGAATGGTCAAACCCCCGTAACCGGCACGACGCGAGAAGGACATCAATTAGCAGTGGTCTGGCAGAGGGCTGCGAAGCATTTACCGAACGACTTCAAGGTTTTATTGTTCGTCAGTCGAACCGTCGAGGGCAGATTCTGTTCGTGTAAACAGTGCATTTAAATGGAATGGTTGCCACTGTTGTGCACAAGCGTAGCACTCGAATTGCATGCGCAGAGTGTAGCGAGCGAGCGCACGTGCGTGCGTGAACGCGCCCACATGTGAACGCGCCCATGTACCGCGGCGGTTGTGCCACACAGCTCTCGTACCCCCCCCCCCTCCCCCACCGCGCGTTGTTCCGCACGACGTCCGACGTTTCGCTATAGGTGCCGGGAGCATTGAGTTACGGAAGAAGCGCAGTTCCGCATGTGCCCGATGCGCTCCATCCCAGAGATCGCTCACTTGCACAGGTGTCGGTGTTTAGTGCGCAGAAATAAACGTCGAGTCTCGCCAATTTGATTTTTTTTCTGCTGGTACAGTCGGCGCGCGTCGTTGCCATTTGAAAATTGACTCTGCCAAGGTAAAAAAATATATATATAAAACGCTTCGAGAGAATTTTCTTTGAGTTTTTTTTTTTAAGCGGCAGGGGCAATGAACACCAAGCATCCGCTCGCGCGAAAAATAAACCAGGAAATTACGGCCGGTGTTGTCTTTGGAGAACAAAAAACAGCCACGATGCCATTCCCTCTCGTTTGTTTTTAATTACCTGTTGTGACAGACTTTAACTGTAATTTCAATCCGCTCCAGGAGAGCCCCTCCAAGTGGAGGCCCTGTCCGCCGGCCGTGGCATGAGCAAGGAATTGCAGGGTTGCGCCTTTATCTTTTTACTCAGAGCCAACCATCGATGGGTGGATGATGTACCGGCACGTTCAACTTTTAGAAATAGGCAATGAAAGTGTTTTGCTGCTATAAATGTCCAAATGATAAGCCACTTTGCACACCTATCATTTGTGGCCAGGTCGCTTCTGAAAAAGTTAATACCTCAGGTGGGATATGCCTGGTAGGATGGGAATGGTTTAGTTGTATTTGTATGTGTGATTTGTTTAACTTTCTTGTACTCTGCACTACTCTCATGTCTTGTACTGTTTGTTGCTGGAACGTTCTTTCCCGCCCCTACTGGACATCTCTTAAAGAGCTTAATAGCTCATCGGAATTCCTCCAGTATAAATAAATATTCAGATTCTGAACTTGACGCCAACGTTGCTTACACAGCATGGGTAAACATGTCTTCACACTTTGTAGGGGGTTTTCAGTTTCCCCCACTGGGTGATTCTATTTACTATTGGCCATGCCTGGCCGTGGGATCTCTCACACCTCTAAAGGGGCCCCGTGACTAAAAGCGCTGCGCAATGAAATGTCCCACGAAAGCCGCATCAAATAACAATGCCGACTGCGTGCCCAACAATTGTAAAAAGGCAGTTGTGAAGCAACGGGGATTATATTCTTCTAAGAGCTTTGTGGCTCATCAGATTCCCCCAGTATAAATTCTGAGCAGCAATTTGTTTTCGGGTGGGGTATTCCAACCATGATCAAACCACTGCTGGATGTAACCCCCCCCCCCCCCAACCGCAAGCTCTGGACAATGGTTATGTTAACGAACGGAATTCTTAAAAAAAGATTAAAGGTGCAGCCATGTAACCGCTTGCTCGCCCCACTGCTAGTGAAGAGCCCTCTGGCTGAAGGAGATCCCCTGGAGGGTATGTATTCAGAGGCCTTCTCGTCCAACTGGCAGGGAGTAACCCCCACACTTTACCCCACCACTGGCGAACCCAGCCCAACGACTCAATGTGGCATGTACCCATTTTATACCGCGGGGTGGAGAAGAGGCTTGGCGGTGGGGTGGGGGGGGGGATTTAAAAAAAAATCGCTCCATTTGTTTCACAACTGCCTCGCCCGGAGATCTTGATCGAAGCGGCCAAAACGATCGCACCGGCAGCAGCAGCAGCAGCAGCAGATGCAGGCAGTCCGCAGACGCTACGTTTAAGCAAGCGCACGGCCGAGTGCCAATCGATAATTTATTACCGAGATTTCTGTCGACATCAGCACGCAAGACTGTATGATTGTGAAACAGATGACCGTGAAAAAATATGCGCTTGCGAAATTTGGATGACTCAATAACGGTATAAACGGCCATCGCTGCAGGGCCAATAACATCTCCTAAACGTACACGCATGGACACACAGGGACAAAAGCTCCTCTGTATAATCTACAGAGTGATGTGGGGCCAACTGCTGTTAGCGAGCACCCATTAAGGCTGGCACGGTACACGAGGGGTTGGTGCGGTTATCAGCACCACGCCTAGACGAACTTTCTCCCCGGTGCTGCCGTTTACACTACGCACCTTATTTAAGGCCGAGTTGACCTAGGGGAAAACCAGGAATGGCTAAGACATTCGCCACCGATGTTGGCTGCGAGTGGAAATCGAGCTTAGGTCGCCGCGTTCGTAGCGGGTGCGATAAATCCACGACGCTGGCACTCCCCGCGATGCACGCACGCCCAGACGCGCACCAACACACGGGCACATAGGTTCCCCCACTGCCTGCTTTGCCTGGATGAAGCAGCAATGCGAGCGTTGTTAGCAAGCACCTATTCGAGGCTGCCAGGACACACAAGTGCAAGGTGGGGAGGGGGCAAACGCCACTCGCGGCCAGCCGGCCTTGGCCTGCCCAGTGCCAACGGCGGTCGATGCACCGATACATTTCATGAACAACACGCGCGCTCGCATGCACCACGGACACAAGGTCCGTGTGAATCCCTGCTCGCACGGAGCGACAGCATAGACGGCGTTTATCTCCGTTAGTGGCCCTGAGCCAGTGGCGCAAATTTCACATTCCCTGGTTGTCGAACGATAGTCAGCGAGTCTCAAGGACCAATCAGAAGCGGGGGTCGCACAACAACCTGCCTTGTCGCAGTCCCTGCAGCAACAAACACCGCCAACACACCACCACCGTCAGCCCAGAATGGTACGCCAAGTGTCACTGCTGTTCAGAGTGCCGTTGGGTCTGCTTGAAGGCTCGCTCTGCGACCCGTTTAGCTGTGTATGTAATGGGTTGTGTATGTAATGGGTTGTCGCGTGACCAATTGCTTTGTCACGCGCCAAGCGCTTTGAGCGCTCTGGCATGCCAACCATTGCCACAAGTGAACCGAATTCCAGAGTCCATCACTATCGCACTCGACAATACACTTCTGCCAGTGATTATGTAAAAAAAAACGACAAATCAACACAACAACCCCAACTGAGACGACCCTGTGATTTACCAACAAAGGCAACGTTGCACCACATCTCCCCAACGCTTCCTCTACCCTCCCCGCAAGACTCCTGGTGGACGCACACACGCACGCACTCAACCGCCAGGATCCTCACCAACTGCCCTTAAATAAATTGCGGCGGCGATACGAGCAAACCAACGGCAACGCGCCCCCCCCACCCCCGACAGACTCACCACCACGTAGACGGCCTTCTCGAACGCCTTGCCCACGGGGAACCACTTGCTGCCGCTGCCGGTGGCGCGCCGCTGCCCGACCCGGAGCCTGCGGCCCGCGTTCCCCTCCGCCGGCGACGTCAGCTGCGGCGTGCGCGGCGTCCTCGGCGTCGAGCCGTCGTCGGCGACGCCGCAGGCCAGCGCCCACTTCTTGATGACGATCTTGGGCAGGGGCGGCCGCTCGTTGCGGCGCGCCGTCCCGTCGCCGGACGACGGTGGGGAGGGCCGCTCCTCCAGCCTCAGGGGCCGCTCGCCGGGAGGCCCGCAGGCCGCGCCCACGCTCAGCGAGCGGCAGAAGCGTCCGGTCGCGCCGCGCCTCTCCGCGCGGCCCTCCGGCGCGCAGGGGGGCGTGGGTTCGGCCGGGACGGAGCTCGGCTCGCAGGACGAGTCTCGGCGGCGGCTCTGGGCGCCGTCATCTTTGTGGTGGTTCCCGTGGCCGCCGTGGCCGTGCTTGTGCTTGTGCCCGTGGCTGTCGCTGGGACTGTGGCGGTCGCTGTGGTGGTGGCGGCGGTTGTTGTCGTCGACGTCGCCGTGATGGTCCTGGTGGTGGTGGTTGCTCAGTGGCGGAGGCGGCGGCGGCGGTTGGAGGCACGGTGTCGTCGTCGAGTCTCGGTGGAGCGTGTCGGGCGGGAGCTGCGGGGACGATGACGACGATGAAGTGGAGGTGGAGGGGATCCGGTCGAGGTCGAGCTTTGGAATTTTCGGCGGGGGAGGCTGCTCATCCCATCGAGATCCATAGCAGCCAGAACCTTCAACGACAGCAACGGAAAGATAAACATTTGAGGCTCATAAAGGGCACCCGCTTAAAACGCTTCAGCGTCGACTCGAAGCGCCTGGCATCAACATCTCAACCGCGCCGATGCCCTGCTGCCGTTTAGCCAAGGGGACCCACCAGCGGCAGCTGTCCCTGTGTGGGACAAGGTGTAAGGCAGCAGCCTACATCCAAGCATCATTATCACTCTAGCCCTAAGTGGCAGTGCGCTATTGGTGGGTTTAGTACTGAAGACAACACGAGATCACCACAGTTGGTTAATGTAATCAAGTACAACATTACACATCACCATCGGCTATGATCTATCCACTCCTGGTTTATTCATGAAAAACATTTCTAAATACACTACAACCTGCTCTCACGCACCTCTTCAATTCATCACTTAGGTCCCCCGCTGACGTTCAACAGCTGTCCGAGACACCCAACACACCCTCGCTACGCCCTGCTGCATTACCCAGTCGTGTCGTCTCTCCGACAGACGTCTTGGTCAAGTTCCACGTTTGCTTGCACACTTGGTGCGTGGCAGCAATCTGCCACTCAAAAGCGAATCGCTCTCCGCACTTGTTGTCAGCGACTTTTGTTTCGCTCCTATGCATCTCGAACCCGTAAACTTCGTAACCCCTGCTCTCTATTAAAAGTCGAGATTATTTTGACGCGGCAAATTTCCACACGACGAGCCACATCTTAGCGCCGTCATTCGTGGCAGCCAGTGGTCGCCTCTGAAAAAGAAGCCAATAGCTCGGTGTGCCGTACCTGGTAAGACGATAAATAAAACAAAACTATTTCTTTAGGTTTCCTACACTTTGCACTAGCGTGTGTTTGTACTGTTTGTTGTTGTTGTAACGTTCTGACCCGCCCCTACTGGAACATCTGTGAAACAAGAGCTTTGTAAGCTCATCGGATTCCTCCTTAAGTTTAAATAAAGATTCTGATTCTGAAGTTATTCTATCATTTCCGGTGGTTCATTTCCATTGGTGATCGTCATAATGACGATGTCATCAGCAAACCTCCGCGATTGATAGGCTAAATTATAAATAAGTTCGTAGTAAATTACTTTATATTGCAGGTCGCAACTTATGACAACAATCTGGTAGCTAAATAACGGTACGCACGCCGCAAATGTACACGCACGCAGGGTATAACATTTTATAAATAACGTTAACACGCAAACAGCTGAGGCCACTGAAATGCATTAATTTTAATTGTCCCTTGTAATTTAATAAATGTCCTTGTTTACATTTCACGTGCCGCTTCCAGTAGGGCATAATTAGATGAAGCACCATTCATTTCCCTTCCCTCCACCCCCCCCAACCTCCCCTCCCACACACCCACACAAAAAGGACAAAGATCCCCCTGTTTATCCCTATAGACTGCCGGGGGAGCAGAGAGCTGTACGAGAGCACCTATTTAGGTTAGACACAGATAAAAGACGAAGAGATCGCCCCACGCCCCCACTCCCCGTGTAGCTTGAACAGACTGTTGGGGCACCTATTTAGGTTAGACACAGATAAAAGACGAAGAGATCTCCCCACGCCTCCACTCCCCGTATAGCTTGAACAGACTGTTGGGGCACCTATTTAGGTTAGACACAGATAAAAGACGAAGAGATCGCCCCACGCCCCCACTCCCCGTGTAGCTTGAACAGACTGTTGGGGCAAGCGCCGCTAGCGAGCACCGACAAAGGCCGACACGGCACACGAGGGGGGGGGGGTGCTAGGGCAGCCAGCGCCGCGCCCGGCCGCCTTTGTCTCCCGAGTGTCGATGTTCCCACAAACCGCACCAGATACTAATTTGAGGCCGAGTCGACCTAGGGTAGTGACCGGTCCAGATAATCCTCACCGGCGTTGGGCCGTTAGCGGGAAACCAACAACTCGGGTCGCCAGGTTTAGAGGGCAGCGCGCAAACTGCCCCACTACCGCTGCCACCAGAGACGTGTGTGCGGTGTGCGTCAACCGGCCACCTTCCTCCCTTCGGTGCCCGACGTTGTTTAAACGTCACAGGGGTACACTCTTGATTTAAAGCTTTCGTGACTGCAGGGATTCATATTCTTTGGGTCTTTCGGTAAAGCCACGTAGATAGGAAAAAAATAACAAAGATCAAAATCGCGACGTTTCGATCGCAACACAAGCAATCGTCTTCAGGTGAAAAAGAGAGGGACATCTGCTGAGGCAGGCTGTTTATAAAGGTTTAGAGATGGGCGGGGCTGCAGATTTCCCACTTCTTTTTTCACCTGAAGACGATTGCTTGTGGTGCGATCGAAACGCCGTGATTTAGATCGTTATTTTTTCTATCTACGTGGCTTTTCCGAAAGACCCAAAGAATATTTAACGTACACCTTAAAAGGTTGCTCAATAGACTGCTTTCGTGACTGCAGGGATTCATATTCTTGGTTCTTTCGGTAAAGTCACGTAGAAGGGAAACAATAAAATAATAAAAAATATATCTTTATTAAAAGGTGGCTAGGGGCGGCGCTGGCTGCCCTCACCCCCCTCTCGTGTGCCGTGTCGGCCTTTGTCGGTGCTCGCTAGCGGTGCTTGCCCCAACAGTCTGTTCAAGCTAGACGGGGAGTGGGGGCGTGGGGCGATCTCTTCGTCTTTTATCTGTGTCTAACCTAAATAGGTGCTCTCGTACAGCCCTCTGCTCACCCGGCAGTCTATAGGAATAAACAGGGGGATCTTTTAAAAAATATATATTTTTAATTATTTTATTGTTTCCCTTCTACGTGACTTTACCGAGAGAACCAAGAATAAGGGTACACTCATTCAAGGCCGAGTTAACCTAGGGGAAAGGCTGCAAAAAAAGGGTCGCTGGCATCGCGGCGCTACTCTTTAACCCCGTTGTGCCGCCTCTCACACAGATACATACAAAGATCCCCCATGTAGCCTTCAACAGGCTGTCGGGCCAAGTGCTGTTGGCGAGCGCCTATTCAGCCGAGATGGGAGTGCAAGGGGGTGGGGGTATGCCCATAGCCACGCCCGGCCGCCTTTGTCTCCCCGGTAGTGATACCGACTCACTGCACCGGCGACTCGTTTACAAGGCCGAGTTAAATTTCGATTTAAAGCTTTCGTGACTGCAAAGTCTCACGTCGTGAGAATTTTGTTTTATTTTATTATTTTATTCTCATTCTACGTGACTTTACCGAAAGAACCAAAGAAGGCAGAGTTGTCCTAGGGGAGACCCAGGACTGGTTCAAACATCCGTCACCGGCGTCGGCCGCGAATGGGAATCGAACCCTCGGATCCCCAGGTTCACAGCGCGGCACCGCCAACCCCACCGCACTACCGCTCCCTCCACACATAACGCGCACCTCAGATGAGCGGCGGTCGGCTAGGTACGGCGCGAAAGAAGTTGAACAGACATACACACACTCGCGCGCGCACACGCTCCAGCAAAAAACCCTTCTACCCCCCCACACTGCTCAGCCCACCCTTAATATGCGCGGGAATCAACAATCACACCCGCTGCTTTCACAACAGACTTAAAACTGGCCGAGCGCCAGCTGTCCGGCCAGCGTTCACACGAACACGCCTGCCGCAGAGAGGGGCGCGGGGCAGTCGCGACGTCAAATCGCACCCCGCCCCCCCCCCCCCCCCTTTAAAAACGCCACTCACAGCACTGGTGATTATCCGGGATAACACCACAATTGTAGCCTCTGCATACACGAAAAGACAAAGATAGCCCCTCCCTCTCCACTGCCTCCAACCTCCCAACAGAGTATCGCCTGCACAGACACCACAGAGGAAAGTCTCCTGTTAAGAGAGCACCTATTAAATTTATGGCACGGCACACAACGAGCAGGGGGTGTAGACTGGTACCACAACCGGCCACCTTTGTCTTCCCGGGCGCCGATGTATGCGCACCGCTACGGTTGCCTCTCTCGTTAAAAGACCGAGTTGGGCACCGGTGTGGATATCGCTTGCCCCCGACGTTAGCCAGTGACTTTTAAGAGCCCTTTGACAATCCACCGCTGGAGGAAGGCCTCCACACACAACGCCACGTTGTGTGTGGGACGCTGCCCGTCCGTACCTTCGCCGCGCCGGGCAGCTGGTGAACGGGAGGAGACCCAGGGCTAAAGGTTCCGGCAAGTTCAGAAATTGGTCGCCACCGATGTTTGCCCCGGCGCAGCGCGCCGACAAAATACGTCACCGCTCCTCAACATGCATATTCTCCGCCACAAGTCGACAAACACAACACACACGTTTGCTTATACACAAAAACACAATTACACTCTCACACAAATAAGCACATACATAAAACGCGCACGCGATGAACAACATTTCAGGCAAATTACAATGAGCGATGGCGACACGATTTGCTGACACGGCAGATCCCACCCCGGAGGCAGCTGGCACCGTTCCACAGGACACTGCGTGCCGGCGGAGTCGCGTTACAGAGTCCCGCACGCGCAGGAACGCGTCTCCTGCGCCCACCGCACCCCCCCCCCCCCACCGCACGAGCGCTTGGCGCGGTTACCGGCACCGCGGCCTCCACCGCTACCCCGATCCCGCCGCAGCCCCAACACAATGCCCTCGCTGCAACGCACCACGACTCCAAACTCCGACCGCACCGCCATCCTCGCCGTGACCGCAGTGCTACCCCCGGCCCACATCGCTACCGCACTGTGACCCTCCCACCACTAACCACGGTGGAGAGACGTTAACTACCTCGCCTGGTATGCAGGAGGTGCGTCTCTCTCTCCCCGTGGTGGCGCGATTTTTCCCCCCGCATTTATAATCAATGCGCATTTTGAGTAGCTGGCCGTTATAAATGTCCGTGTGATAAGCCACTTCGTCGAGGTATAATTTGTCATAGCCAGGTCGCTTCTGAAAAGAGCTATATAGCTCAGTGGGCCTTACCTGGTAAAATAAAAAGTTTAGCTTTAGTTTAGTTTTAACCGAGAGCACCGCTACCCCCCTGGCCACACGGCTACTGCACCGCACCGATACCCCACTCCGACGCCATCCTCCGATTAGCACG